CCTCCCACCCGCCCTCCCCCTCTCCCTCCCCCCGTCCCTCTCCATCTCTCCCCCCACTCCCTCTCCCTCTCTCCCTCTCTCTGACCAAGACGACCTTTCCTTCTGAGAAGGTCCATTCGACTGCTCGAGCTCCCCTTCTCAGTGCTTTCCCTCACCGTCACCACCTGCTGTTGGAAATTCTTTCACCAGCATCAATGGCCAGTTATTGGGGGGGGGCAAATGCACATTGGCTTTAGTACACAAGTGAAGCAATCTTATAACATTGTACTGGTGCAGACTCACTAAAGCCCTGGAACACCATTGGTAGTTTTAGTCTCCATATTTCATGAAGGACAGATGTGTATTGGAGGCAGAGCAGTGAGAGTTCACTGGATTGGTCTCTTGGGTGAAGGGGGAGGTTCTATGATGAAAGGTTAGGGTTACCTGGGACAATACTCTGAGTGTGGAACGATGGGAGGTGGTCCTTACTGAATCATGAAAGATTCTGAAGAGGTTTGACAGGGTTGAAAGAGAGAGGTTCTAACCTCAGGCTGGCAATGCAGAACATGGGGTTCGAAGTCTTGGGCCATTCATTCAGAACGGAGAGGATAACCTTCTATATTGAGCGGGCTGTGGGACTTCCAGCACTGAACGAGCATTACACTGGGAGAGACAGACCTCTCCTCTCTCAGGGAGTCACAGGATACGGGGATTGGTCAAGAACATGGAGTTGAAATCCAAGTGAGCCATGATCATTCTGAAGGGCAGAGCAGCCTCGATGGGCTGAATGGCCTACTGCTGCTCCTAGCTGGACAGTTCCTAAACTGGCCAATGAGGTTCAGTACGCTGACAGTATCTGGAATCTTCTGCTGAAGGACCGCTCTGTATTCCTTAAACTCTCCAAAAGGATAAAGCTGACCAAAGTGAGATAGTAACAAAGAGGACCAGAGCCTCCAAATTTACCCTAAGCCAGTCCTTACCTCATCAGACCCAGAGCGGAAGATGAGCAGGTCAAAGGGAATAGCAGCGACCATGTCAATGAGGAACCAGCCCTTGAAGTAGTGGATGGCGATACTGGCAGGATGGCTGACCACTTCGTCATTGCTGTTCACATAGGTGGTACGGAAGTTGATCAGAATATCAATAACGAACATGATGTCGACAATCAGATCGACCACATTGAGGGGATTACAGGAGTAACCACAGTCTCGGCGATTCACCTCCTCTTGGTCATTCAGGAGGAAGGCAGCAGAATATGGAGTGAAGATAGCTGTGTAAATAACAAGCAGCAGGATCAGCCAATCCCAGACTGCCTTAAACGGACTGTAATGAAGAAAAGTCCATTTGTGAATTCGTGGAGCTTGGAGTTTATATTCAGGCAGGACGTCAGCACCAAGAGACAGTACCTAGCACAGCAAAAACCAGCCAGTTAGTCCCACAACCACAGAACCACCCATAGGAAAGTGAGAGGCTCACACTCCCAGCTCACAATCAATTCAACACAGTGAACATTGAGGCGCTCCCTCAGCACTAACTCTCCGACAGTGCCAACTCCCTCAGTACTGACCCTCTGACAGTGCCCACTCCCTCAGCACTGACCCTCCGACAGTGTCCACTCCCTCAGCACTGACCCTCCGACAGTGCCCACTCCCTCAGCACTGAC